GGGCGAGGGGCGGGAGATGTGAATGGAGAGGCTCCCTGTGTGTCCGCAGGCATCAGGGACGGGTGAGGAGGCCATGGTCAGCGTTGTCTGCTCCTACGATGACCTGAGCCGCAAGCTGTGGAACCTGAAAGGGCTGCCGCTGACGGTGACGGCTGTGCAGGGCGTCCATCCAGCCCTCCGGTACACGGATGTGAGTGTCCCTGGGCACAGCCCAGGAGGGTCTGTGAGGAACTGGGGGGAGACCCTGGGCTGAGAGGGGACAGAGAGAATTAGTCACTCTCTGCTTTTATGGCTCCTGAGAGCCCTTGGGGTGATGCAGTGCCTCTTCTTTGCTGTCCCGTCCCTGGGGCTGGCTGTGCACAAGTTGACCAAGCCCTCCATGGTGGGGAGCTTTGCTGGAGCGGGAGGTTTGGGGTGAGGGGGTGCATGATGCCCCAGGCTTTCTGCTCCCTGTTCTCAGTCCCTGGGTGGCTGTTCTCTCCCAGGTCTTCCCTCCCATTCCCATGAAGCCAATTTACTCCTTCCATACCCGAATCAGGACCAAGCACTTGCTGCTTCCCTCAGAGGAGAAGCCCTGCCCGGCCTACATAGCCCCTTTGAAGAGTAAGTGGGGAGAGACGTGAGCGGGAGATGATTTGGTGGGGTAAGCAGAGGCACGCGGCCATGCTGGCTCTGTTACTGCTGTGTTGGTGTGCCGCAGGCCGGAGCAGAGCCCCAGCTCCTCCTGCTGTAACCTCTAGTCCCAGCCACTCCCATCCAACACCTAATTTCTGTGTGGGGCTCACTGGCCTCCTGCTGTCACTTTGCCCCCAGTCATCTGCCACATGGAAGGCAGTGGCCAGTGGCCACAGGACAAAGAAGCCATCAAGCGCATCAAGGCGGCTTTCCACCTCCAGCTGGCTGAGCTCCTCCAGCAGCAGCACCAGCTGGTTTGCAGACCTGCGGTCACCCACACTGATGTGTACAAGGTAGGGGGGTGATGGGGACCTTCTCCAGACCTGACTTGTTATCGAGGAGGCAGGCGGGGGGGCTGTGGCAGTGGTCGTGGTCGCACTGGACAAAACCAGGATTTGGATGGCGGGCCTAGGAAAGAGCATAGTGAGACTGCGCTGATGCCAGGATGCTGCTGTTGTGTCCCTGAGGTGCAGTGTAGCACCACCAAGCCTGACTTCACCTTCTGTTCCCATCTCAGGATGGCTATGTTTTCTACCTCCAAGTAGCCTACCACCGGGAGCCCCTGATCTTGAAGGAAGTGGTCACCCCAGAAGGGATGCTGAAGTACCAGGACACAGAGGAGTCTCGGCAACTGGAGCTGGAGACGTTGCATCTGCCCTATCTAACCAGCTCCTTGCATGGGTAGGTGAGGCGGGGGGTCCCTTGGGGGGGTCCAGGACATGGGACGTGGCTGCAAGCCAGCATGGAGGTGCTCTTGGATGTTGGAGGGTGATAGTGGGGAGAGGAGCTCGCCGTGGGAAGTGGCCCTTCTGCCCACCTCGTGAGAGACTCTGTGGGAGGATGGAGGGACGAATGTGGTTGGGGGCAGCACTAGTTGTCCCTGCTGTCACATCCAAGGTCATTGGTATGGGGAGACAAGTACCAAAGAGCTGCATGGTTAGAGAGGAGCACGTGGCAGCATTTCCCCTTCATTTCCCTAAAAGCTCAACGACCACAGAGAGTGCCCTGTGCTTGTGATGCTGTGCACATGTGCCTGGCAGAAGTTTGCCCCTCTCTTCTCTCCTGCT